TTATTATTATTATTATTATTCTTATTCTCTAAAACTAAGGTAATTATAAGCTATTAAAGGTAGCTTAAAAGGCGTAAGAGATTAACTATATCTTTAATTATAATAAAGATAAGCTATATAAACGTTAATAAAGATATAATAAAATTATAAGAAAACCCTTTAAAGTTATAAATTAATTAAATTACACGTATTAACGCGTGTAACGTACTATTAATAGCGCTTAAAGAGGCTAGTATTTAAGCTTAAGTTATTATTAAAAGTATAAGGAATTTAAAGGAATTTAAGCTCCTTTAAAAAGCTATAATAATAGGCGTTTATTATTATACGTAAGTAATATATATAAAAATAACGTTTAATACTAATATTTATTATTTTAATAGTAAATAATAGGCGATTAGCTTAATAAAATAAGGTTTCTTAGGTAAAAAAAAAGAATTAAATAAATAAGGTAAGAAAGAATAAGGTAAGTAATAATATTTAAGAGAGAAATAACTAATAAAAGTGTAAAGAGGCTATATTAATTTATATATATAGCTAATTATATAATAACGCGATTAACCTTAACTAAACGTTTAAATATTTAATTAAAGTAAGAGGGGATAATTGTAAGGTAATTAAGAAACCCTACCTACTTATAACGCGATTAATAACGTTACGTGAAATGGGAGCTTTAAGACTATATCCCTTAGATCTCGTATAACTAAAAAATAGGATAAGCTTTAGTTATTATAATATAGCTACCCCTACTTTAGCTATCTAACTTCCAGTCCCTCTTACAGTCTTACATTTTAAAGAGCTAATTTAGATCTTTTTAATTATATTAAAATATGCCTTATAACGCTTATAATTAGCCTTATAATTTTAAGTTAGAAAAATTAGAGTCTTTTTAACTTATAAGTTATAATAGATTTATAGGTATTTTAGTCCTATAATATAATGTATTTAAATATAATACATGAAAGTATAATACAATATAAAATATAATATAAAATACACTTGTTTTCACTATATTCGTAAGAGCTTTAATCTTAAGAGACGCTAAGATAACTTAAATCTAGAGAAATATTTAATTTACTCTGTTCTCTCCGTCAACAGTCGACTTCCACAAGGTTAACTTATTGGCATCCGGCACGCCCAGCCGGCACCTCCTGAAAGATCTGCCCACGTACAACTGGGATCATAACAAGCTCTACTGGCACGAGTCTCGGATATCCAGAGCTTTTACCAGCGCCAACAACACACCGCATCCACTACTCGGCAAACGAACTACAGATATGACAGAGGACGACATACGCTGGAGGAACTTGCTGAAATTGAGCGAGATGCCATGGGTTCGCGGTCATCGGCTTCAGGGGCAGGTTGTCTATCTAGCAACAGCCTACATGGCCACTGCCGTAGAAGCGGCGAGGTCACTGTCGCCAGACAAGAACGTCGCCCTTATTAAGATCCAGGACTTTAGTCTCCGCAAGCCGCTCGTCTTTAGTGAGGACGGCGCTGGTATTAAGACACTGTTTACGCTCCACGGCGTGACCAGGGAACAAGGTGACCAGATCTACGTGGCCTCCTTCTCTTACTGCGCATCTACAAACGCCTAAGTGGAACTCCTTTTCACTCATGCGACTGGTAAAATGCGAGTGATGACAGGCGAATCACATGCTCGATAGCTGCCGTCCCTAAAAGACAATCCTCCTAACCTTAACACCGTCTCAGAGGAGCGTTTCTACGCCTCTCTAGAGATGATAATAAGCTAGTTAAGATGCTACTGCACCCAGCCATGCTAGATGCGGCACTGCAGGGTATCTTCTTGGCCTATTACTTCCCGGGCGTTTGCAGTCTTCAATAACTGCATATCCGTACAGGAATCAAGAGCTTCCAGGTTAACGTCGGTCCCTACGAGCAACATCTAGCATCACGGGCCAACGACGTTAAGTTCTGCGCGCACTTAACGGAGAATCCCATGCCCTCAAGACAACTCCGTGGCGACGTCAACATCTACACCTACCAAGGGCCCAGCTTAGTGCAGATAGAGGGCATCCAAGTTATTACTCTTGCTAGGCTAACGTCGGACTCACACTAGAAGTTCTTCATTAAGCACAGGTAAGCGCCGCTTAACCCTGACTACAAGCTAGCCATAGGCGGCCACAAATGCACGGCCAATAACTACGAGTTCGCAGAGGTCATGGAAAGGGTTATCCTGGATTACATTAGGAACACCACAGCCGAGTTTCTAAAGACAGACCGTGAAGCCCTAAACCTTAAATAGCACTTTAAGTGCATATTTAAGTTCTATAACCATGTTATTACCACTACCGGTACCAGGCCGTACTCTTAGCGGAAGTGGTTAGACCACACTCCGGCTAACATTCCGGCGTTAAAAGTCAAGTAAGTTTTGCTCGTCTGCCTTTCGTTATGTGACCTTCTCCCTCATCATAAATATAGCGAACTTGATTCGCACATAGATAGGCGTACCGGACAGAGCTGAAGCTCGCCCGCGTCGTGGGCGATAACTTACCGGCCGTTCTCAGGGGTGAGACTACAATTCTCGAGCACATGACCAAGGATGGCCTGCTAAATCGCTTCTATAAGATAGGCATGGTGTTGGAATAGGCGAGTAGTCACGTGGAGATAACAAAGTGGGCACTAAAATATCTGTATACATATTAAGGTCAAGGTTGGGGGATAACCTGAATACAACTAAGAGAATCTATCATCTACTTTTAACACATGGGCCTGAAGGAGTGGACCTTGTTCCTGGGGAAAACCGTGAAACAGCTCGTGCACCGATATCCGAACATAAAGATACTCGAGATTATGGCCGGTACTAGCGGCGCCACCAAGGTCATCATGAATGAGATTAGCTGCTCTTTCGCCTCGTATACTTACACTAACATCTCCTTGGGCTTCTTCGAGACCGCCCAGCAGGTCTTTAACGCCTTTTCTAGCAAGATAATCTTCCAGCTACTAGACTACGAGAAGGACATCGACGAACAAGGATACAAACAATACTCGTACAACATGGTAGTTGCCTTGCTGGTCCTCCACGCGACTATTAATCTGCGCCGGACACTAAGAAATGGGCGCCGGCTCCTGAAGCCCAAACTCTTCCTGGTTATGCAGGAGATTACTAACAACGACGTGAGCCGCACTAGGTTCATAATGTCTGCTATAATAGGCTGGTGGCTCGGCCAGAATAACGGAAGAATGCTATTACCCTAACCCTAACACAAACCCGCGATGTTTTAAATTCGCGGGTACCACGAACCTATAGGCTCCCGCATATAGACTAGATATTAACGAAGGAAGAGAGAGCCAACTTTACGGTTCTCCCGTTTCTAGCTGAATTTGCAATGCGGTTCGAGTGACTCCCTTCTATCTTAGTATCGTTTATTAATAGCTCTATAATACTACTACAGGCATAAATATCAGAGCTTGGGTAGGCTTTAACCGGTAAATATCGCAATTTCGCAAGATTGTATTGCCTTTTTTTGCAGTAATACCTTAGTTCTAGATGACATTTGCGAAGGATGGTAAAAAAGCTCATTTACTATACGCACCAATACAGTATTTTAACGGTCTAGCGAGTATACTAACAACCAACTAGATGATTCTAACGAATATTTAAAGCTAAAGAAGAAAGAGAAGTAAGAACAAGAAAAAGAGAGCTCTTGAGCTCTTGAGCTACTGAGCTCGCCGCTGCTAATCTCGCTTGTTGTCGGGTCCCGCCGTTTGCAGTTTATCGATAAAAGACGAGAGCGCAGCTAAGCTATTCTCGGGCCTAGCCCGTTACAGGTATTAAAGACATCAGGTTTTTTTTTTGGGGGGGGTTGGCGTGAGCGGAGGGATCTCAGTTCTATTATTGCAATATACTCATGCCGCTTGGCGCTTACAATGGGGGTTAACAGCATGAACACCACCACGACACATGGGAACGCTGGGGAACAAGGTTCACACACCCTGCTTGCACTTGCAATTGGATGTTTCCTAGTGGTGTTTGTGCCCATTATCATCTCGTCAGTGCTGTTCTTTTCTCCGAGCATCTATGGTACACTAATGGCTAAAGATGCATTTTATACCGGGACGAGTCCCTGGCGCGCTGACCCTGGTAGATTCCCGGACACTCAACGCTGTGTAACGGCCAAGGTTCCCAAGAGATAAACTAGTCGCAGTTTATGTTGGCAGAGCCACTAGGGCAGTCAATCTAAGCGGTTGGGTGTTACGCTGGTAATAGGTCGTAGACCGTAACCAAGAGTCATAACTGTCACACAGCACGATTGTATGGGACAGCTTAGACAGAATGAGAGACTCTTGATTTTCTACATAAAGAGTGGAGTAATACGAAACTAAATACTTGTTGTAATACTGCTGCCTGGCAGGCAGCAATATAGCCATAGCTGTTGCCTTGACCTTGACATAGTCACTGGAATCAAAGTGTGTCATATTCCTTCGGTGTCCTCCCACGTTACAGTCAACGTTTTCACTCAGCATCAGCCGACAAAGATTCACCCGTGATATCGACGGGCCTGACCTGATCACCTCTGATATATCACCTCTGATACCGTCTGCCTCCGCTCTCGTGGTTGCTCGTGATGGGCTACTGCCCTTTTCCCGGGAACCTGCTCGACCATTCGGTCGCCCTACCTTATTCCTAATTCCCCTGCGAGCCCTTGCCCACTTGGATATCTTTTCCCTCAGACCGGACATTCTGCTAGACACGGTGTGCACCCGGAAGAGGTAATACACGGCCACCGTCATTGCGATATCGAATGCGATGTAGGCCCAAACGATGCCAAAGTTCCTCCACCGCTCGCTCCAGACGATGCCATAACCGGCGATGTACTGATCGGCATTGTTGTATGGGCAGTACCGGCATTCTCGGGTGTCCATTGGATTTTGCAGCACGCCTGGGGCCTGCGACAAAATCGGAGAGAGGTATTCGCCGCAGGTAAGGCCCGGTGGAGGATCGAAACTGGCCGTCTCGTTTGACGAACAGTCAATCTTGCGGCCGTGCAGAGCCGTCGAGACGATCCCGCCCACCCAGTAGGTAATGGGGCTGACCCTGTACATGAAGATCCAAAAGCCCGGGAGCGCTGTGGGCGACTGCATCACGCCGCAGAAGAGAGTGCTCATCAAGGTCAGGAAAATTACGATGCCGCCCGCAGCCTGCGCATTCGGAAGTGCTGCAACCGTCATGTCGGCGAATGCGCTGGCATAGAGAAAAAGCTGGAGAGTGAAGAGGAGGATGAGGCCTTGCTGTACGGGACTCTGTCCAGCACCGAAAACTGGAAAGTAGAAGCATGCGTAAATGAAGACGCTAGTGACAATCTGGAAGGGAATTTCGACAATGATATTGGCAATGAGGAAGGCTTTCCAGGAGTAAGCCTTGCTTGGGCGTTCTCGAACCTCGTAGAGCTCCCGCTGGGTGACGAAGAGGGGTTGGATCTAGTGAACAAGTTTGACAGTCTCGATTAGCATCATTGTGTGGACAGGCTGTTATGAAGCATTGGAATGGGTTAATTACCTGCTGGACCAGGGTTGTAAACATTGTCGTCAGCATGAAGACTGCGAAGATCGCATTCTGAATACCAGCCAGCGTGTCAGTAACCTGATAGAAGCTGAAGCCAATGAAAAGGCCAGCTGTGATGCCCAAGAGCCATTTGGAAAATATGTAAGATGGCATCCTCCAGTACTGCTGAAACACCCTGGCGGTCACAACCTGCACCTGATATAGCATCGGCATGGCAAACTCAGAACGCTTGGAAGCAGCGTCACGCTCTCCGGCGGCACGTGTCTCAGCCTGCTTTTCAGCATGGATCCTTTCGATCTCAGCATCGACCGCCTTGCGTTCATTGCTTGATTCCCAGACCGAGTGCCAATCTTCGCCGTGGGAATTTGTGCCTGCATTGACCATCTCCAACATGTACTCGGCCGGATTTTCGGTGTCACCGCAGCGACGGTGTGCGCCGTGAGACTCGAAGCAGTCCAGTAATATCCGCGAGTTAGCACCAATCTCTCCGAAGTAGACGGTCTTTCCGCCCTTGGCAAGGAAAAGTAGGCGATCGAACTCCTGGAAGAGAATCGCGCTGGGTTGATGAACAGTGCAGAGCACTGCCTGGCCCGCCTCTGCCAGTTTCTTGAGGAAGATGCAGATGGCTCGTGAGCTTTGCGAGTCAAGCCCGCTGGTGGGCTCATCAAGGAAAAGCAATAGCTTCGGCTTCGCGACGAGTTCAACTCCGATGGTCAGGCGCTTGCGCTGTTCAACGTTTAAGCCTTCTCCAGCAACACCGACGATGGCGTTAGCAAAATCTTCCATATTAAGCATCCTGATTACTTCTTCCACAGACGCGTATTTTTGCTTCTTGCTAACAGACTTGGGTTGGCGGAGCCTCGCACTGAAGCGGAGACTCTCTCGTACGGTAGCCGTCTGGAGGTGAAGATCTGTTGTTATTTGAAAACAAAACGATTTACGCCGTTAGCCACTGTCCCAGCTCAGATTCGAAAATTCACACTCAACGTTTAACTTACCTTGCTGCTGGACATAACCTGTGTTGCGTTGGAAACTGGCGTCGAGCGGCTGCCCATTGACAAGCATGTTCCCCGTCACGACCCCGACAGAGATTCGCTGTGCAAGGACATCTAAAAGGGTTGTCTTGCCGGCTCCGCTTACCCCCATGAGCGCCGTGAGAGTGCCAGGTTTGACCCATCCAGCCACATGGTCCAGAAGCCGCCTCGGTTCTTCCTTGATCTTTATGTCGTACACGACGTCTTTCCACGTAAAAATGTCTCGTTGGGCCGGGATTGCCTCGACTTCTGTGTCTTTGACGCTGGCGCTGTTGCTAATTTGTGTGCTTACTGTCGACGGCCGTTCCACGTCTCTGCTGCGCTGTGTGCTACTTTTCTGGAGACTGGGCGGAACATGACCTCGTTGAAAAACCAATGCCTCAGCAGTGCTTGACGTGGCGGAGTTGATTTCTGTTGTCATAAAGTAGACTGCCATGAAAGCAAGAAGGAAGCCGATCAGGATGCCGAAGTTTCGCCACACGTGTGAATACGAATACCCATAGTTGGCCGCAATGAAGTCGTCACCGCTGACTGTTGATTTGCCAGGTACAGCGCTGAGAGCGACGCAGGTCCATGAATCGCCAACAGGGGGGCTATATGGAGGAAATATATTTGAGCACGTGAAATCGCGACCATGAAACTCGTTCGCTATCAGGATCTCAAAGGCGTAGAAGATTGGATTGATCCAGCGGATCCATGAGAGCCAGGGGTGCATTGAAGACACAGTAATGAAGAAGCCAGTGTAGATGACCAGTGCCAGGACCAACACCGCAGCCAGTGTCATGGCCTGTGAGACGCTAGATGTAATAGCCGCCATTGTCCTGAACATGGCGATCATGATAAAGATCGAAACATAGTTGATAAGGAAGAAGAGAAAGAATTGAGCCGGCTCTCTCCGCAAGCCTGCCATGAAGTAGATGATGAGACTCAACACGGTTGCAGTGACGAACTTGACGGGTATATCGGCCAGAACGCCGGCGGCAGCCTCAGTAGCAGGATGATAAAAAGCGTATGACGAATGTTTCTCCACTATAGGTCTCTGGGCATACAAGGTGCTGATCTCGGTGATGGCAGTCAGTGCATTGAGCAGAATAGCCATGAATATGACCGATCCCTTGGCATAGAAACCTGCCGTTGCGTCTGGTGTGCCGTAGAATACAGAACCGATAATCAGCGCCATAACAGTGTTGACGACAGTAACGATCATGGTAGCTGAGATGTCGTTCCAGGTCCGCTGGTACGCTCTCTTTGTGTTCAGCCTCACTTGCATTGCTAAGCTGATGCGGTAGGGTGATTTGGGCCTTACATGTTTTGCCTGCTCGTAGTTCTTCTGCTGGCGGAACTGGGAAATGGTCTCATTCCCCTTGTCGCGGAGGCCCTGTTCAAAGGCGCCAATATCTTTCATGAGTGCCTTGTACTCAGGAGACAATCGCCAGTATCTCTCAAACTCTTCCGGAGTCCTGGGCACCTTGCTTTCCATTCCCTCCCGCGCCATTCTTTCCTGAGGATTTGTCACGGATGTGAGGAAGTCCCCTGTAGTCTGCCGAGGAGGGCAATACCATCCTTGTCTCAAAAAATAATCCTTCGCGGCTTTTGTTGATCCAAAATATATTTGACGGCCTTCGTATAACACAGTCACCTTGTCAAAGATATCGTACATGGTCTGACTTGCTTGATAGATCGCAACGACATTGGAGTGATGGCCTAGATCTGACGACAACCGCAACGTCTCTACAAACTTCAGTGCCGTTGCCGCATCAAGCCCCCTGGTGCTATACCGTGATGCAATCGTTAGCCAAGCTGTCCATCAGAAAAGGTGAAGAGTCTCTGTCTAATCGACTTCGCGACTAAACACCAGCGCCTTGGTGGCTGTCGTACCTATTGTCCCAAGCGGAAAAGGGAGAGCCGGCAAGAATCATCTCTGCGATGGTGACTCGCTTCCTCTCGCCGCCCGAGACGCCGCGGATGAAGTCGTTTCCAACCCTTGTATTGTAGGTATGGTTGAGCCCACATACCGCCATGACGACACGTGCAATGTATCGGCAATACTCTCCGCGGGACATGTTTTGAATCCGGTGCGAAGGCGTACGGACCGAGGCTGCGAACTCGAGCGTCTGGCCAGCCGTTAGGTGCGGGAAATGCTTATCTACCTATACATAACAGAGCTGATGAGTAAACTGTCGAGTCCGAGATACACCAGATGTCTACTTGCCTCTTGATTATAAATGACCTCTCCTTTGAATTCCTTCTTCATCTGGGTCTGCGGGATTCCTCCATATTGAATAGTTGAAGTGTTGTCTAGACTGAGACCATGCAGCTCCCCGCAGAGGGATTTGAGCAGCGTGCTGCACCCGGATCCTGGCCGACCCAGCACGACCAGCATCTCGCCGCCGCAGATCATTCCATCGAAGCTGTGTAATATCTGCCTAGGCTCATTCTTGCCAAAGCTGAAGACGTCACCAGGCCGCAGCACGGATGTCAAGACTGAGCCAACGGTGGGTTGGAGCTGCAGGGCTGCTCCTGAGCCGTAAACACTCAGATTCTTGTATATAACGCCCGTTGACACCTGGTGGTGTCCTTTCCCGTGCAACTGTTCGGTGAAATTTTGCGCCCACTTGTGGACATCGAAATGTGGGCTGAGGGGGTCCATGGTCGAGTCGGAATCATGGTCCTGAATGTTGGCAACCCCGAGGCTGTCGAGGTTAGTCGTGTCAGATACGTTAGATTGACAACGTGAGAGGGATGTCGCGACGCGGACCAGCTCCTGCCTTTCCGCATCGGGAATTATATCTTGAATGCGCCGGCTAACCATTCCAGATGGCCAATCATTTTGTGATGTCCTGTCAGCATTTGGAGATGACGGCGGACGCGGACTCTTGGTGTTCCGATCATGACATTTGCCAGGCCTGATGGGCGTGTAGTGCTGCCGTGATTCTTCAGGGCGGTGTTGTAGAGACTCGGTTGTCTCATCAGAGGGGGAGTCCCGCTTCCTAATGTCCTTGTCCCCGCAATGATCGTCGCGGTCGAGAGGCTGCATCATCACGGGCCTGGATTGTCGCGTTTCGGGAGAGGTTTTGGGTGGTAATTTCAGTTTTTGACGGAGGCGAATGGCGTATGGCCGTGGTCCCCGTTTGTCGCATTTTATGTACCCTACAAGGCCAGCTCCGTCGACGTTCTGGTAATAGATACGTATCAAGGTGTCGTAATGGAGGCCCTTGACTCGCACCTAGAGTCTCAGTCCGGACGAAGAGGCACCTTGTGGTGTTATTAATATTATCCCAAGTGGATAAGTTTGCGAGACAGTGGCATGATATTTGGCTCGCAAGAAGGCGAGAGGGTGGTAAGGTTTTGGCTTGTCTCGGACTCACTAGTTCTCACGCCGTAAACGCCGTACAAGGTGTTGGTCATTGTTGACTTTCTTAGAGTCTTGGTGGCTTGTGGCTTGTCAAGTTGTGTGGTCCATGGTGCGCTCGTATAGGGGAAGTACTGGGCAAAGAGCACCTAACAGTTCCAGACGTTAAACCTCACATGAACTCGCTCAGTTAAACCTGCATCTCAGTAACCATCTCTGTATGCGACCCTAGTTCTCATCTTCACGAATTGGACCTTGGGTTAGGGGATGTGTCGCATATTAAGCCTACCCGACAGCGGACTCCTCTCCGTCCTCGGAGAGAAGTCCTTCAATTAGGTTGTTGTCAACATAAGGCAACCACTGTAATCTCTTTTGTACAGTTACGATGCTTCTTAGATAATTCTCATTTTAATATAATTGTCGCCTACGGCGCCATTTTACTTGATCTTTTGTGACCCCTTAATTGTCTGACAGGATACCGTGCCGCTCCAGTTCTCCTCAAAACGTAACTTGAATTATATAAGCTAGTTGAAAACGAGGGCGACTGATATACTGGCGCCCGGGCGCTAATTGGGGAAACATGGTATTCTATTGGCTGGAAACCTGCCCCAAGACTGACAAGGAAATAGCACCCGACGTCTGCCAACCTGCCTGTCTCGTCTGGTACTTCCTGACACGGCAGGTACTAAGGCGCTAACATATCAAGAGAGTGCAGCACCGCCGTAGAGACACCACCTGGCGTTGTACGCAAATGAGCCCTCAAAGATGAAATGAATAGCTTTTCTAACTAGTAATTAACATGTGAATAAACAAATGCTCGTCTACTATGCTTGTGCTCATTGCTTGCCGTTCTGTATTTACTTTGGATAATGCCCGCATACAAGTGGCCATGGTACCCGTCGTTGCAGATAACTACGTATTACGGCAAAGAAAACACGAATATAGCTCGCGACGACACTGTTTGATTTCGCGTTAGGGTTACAGTCGGGTCTTGTTCCCATTTTATAATGCGACCCTGCCAGCAACTGCTGCCCATCATCGCCATACTGCGGGCTGTTAAGATTTAAGTACTGTGTTCCCCAATTGGCGATCAGCCGCCGAAAACGACATGTGGAGCTAATAGCCCCGCCTCGGCAGTCTCCAGAAATTCGTTCAGACGGCAGATGGACGCCAATGCCGAGTGCGGGTTCGCGTCGCCCACAGCGTCAACGGGAAAAGTCTCTGAAGGCTCAAATGGCCGGGCTAACGTTATACTCGTCTGTGACCGAAATAAGCAGCGTCAAGCGCTTGGATCAAAAGAACGCATCGTACATCACCGTTGGGATACCCTCACTATGCTGGAAAATCGACTGGGCCTGAAATTGAAATAGAGATGGTTTTGACCATCTCTATACCGCCTGCCCCCGAGATAAAGGCCGGGTCAGAATCTGAGCTGAAGTCGGATTTGAAGTCGGAAGAGAGCGAGGTGTGCCCTTTGCCGGGCTGCTCAAGTGTGACGTCGGCCCCACCCGGGTATAGGCTGTAGGTTTGCCTTGGTTCAAATTGTGAAAGACAAGTCCATCGACTGCAACAGGTGGTCGAGCAGGTTGGCGTGACCCACGAGCAGTCGGAAGTTGTGGTCCGGATGGCATGCCTCGCGAGAGAGCTTGGCACGGTACCAACTACCCGGCTACCACCTCATGGCGTGGACGCATTGTCGACTTCACCACCTGGACAACATCATGTTGCGGATCTGATAGCCCAGCTCGGCCGCAGGTGGCTGTCTTTTGGGCCAGACGCGATGCCACCAGTGGTGACGATTTGGGCTGATTCGCGGCGCGAGTTGGCTGACCTAGGCTGACCGTGTAAGGTTCGCAGAATCGGCGGCCATGAGACACAGCCTGGGCCAACGACTACAACTTGTGAGGATGAACTCTAGTGAGGCTTCGAGACCGAAACGTACCGCCACGCTGAAACAAGAGGGGGGTGGGCGCTGGGCGATTTTCCACGCCACAAGCCTTGCGGCGTTGTATGCATGAGCGCGAGCATTTGGATGTAACGATCAACTATACTGTGGCTGGCGGCTGAGTGTAGGGCCGAGATTTGACGGACGCATCGTGAATCTAGCGGGTACTCTGGCATTTTCGCAAAGGCTGCAAGATGATTAATCGATAGCACACTCACATCTCCGGCATTGGCCGTTCGTCTTGGACCAAACGTGGTGATATCTCCTTTTCTTTGCCTCCTTTTCGATCTCGTCCACTCTCCCCACCACGTCGCCCGTCATCTCCATCTCCATGGCAAACGGTGGCCAGGATCGGTCGCATCGACAAGCTCGTCGGACACGATCGACATCGACCTCAAACTGACAAAGTACGAACTAGACGGCACACGCCCAGCATTACTTTGGCTATATCGTCCCCGCCGCGGCCCATCCGTGCCACCACCATGGCGCATCAGCGCGGCAACGCGGTGGACAACAACGGTATTACCTCAGCCAACATGCTGCCGCCGAACCGCACTGCCCACGCTCTTGAGCATCCTGAAGGCACCCGGATACCGTCGTCGCTGCTCAGCCCGCCGCAGCAACCCACTGCCGCGCCAAGGAGGAAATCTGAGCAGCTAGCGAAGCAGCACAGGTCGAGGCGCGACTCGGTGATGCTGACGAGATGGCACACGGCACAGGGTTCCGGCGCAGACGGCGGGGGATCCAGTCTGAATATGGACATGCCCCTGCTCATGGACGTGGAGGAGTCCGTGGACTACACACCATCTTCCAACGAGGAGGATGACATGGTCAGAAACGGTGACGTTAAGAACGAAGCCGCCGCGGCCCAGGCCGAATCGGGGACTCGGAAGCCCAAGAGAACGACGACAGGCCGGGACGAGTCCATTCGCCGATTCCGCCTCTACAATGAGTACTGTAGCACAGAAGCCAAGGTCAAGAGCGACGGCCGCCTGCGCATCACCGTCAACGAGACAACCAACATGAGCTACTTGGGCAAAGTCCTCGGTACCACCTCGGAGAGGGTCATCCCTCCGGAGGGGGTTGGCCCCAAGCACCTACTGCCGATGCCCTCTACCCGCCAGCCCCAACCTCATATGAACATTGTCATGATGGTCATCGGCTCGCGGGGCGATATCCAGCCGTTTCTCAAGATCGGCAAGCTCCTTAAGGACCGCTACCGCTATCGGATCCGTGTCGCCACGCACCCGGCTTTCAAGAATCTCGTCAAGAGCTCGGGGCTCGACTTCTTCTCCGTTGGCGGTGATCCCTCGGAACTAATGGCTTTCATGGTCAAGAACCCAGGTATGATTCCCTCGCTGCAAACGGTCAGGGCCGGCGAGATTAGCAAGCGACGTGACGCCATGGCTGAGATGTTCGAGGGTTTCTGGAGGTCGTGTATCCGTGCGACAGACGACGAAACTGACAAGGCCAACACCAAATTCATGGGCGACAAGGAGCCTTTCGTGGCGGATTGCATCATTGCCAACCCGCCCAGCTATGCGCACATTCACTGCGCAGAGGCCCTAGGGATACCAATGCATCTCGTCTTTACATTCCCCTACACGCCTACCAGGGCGTTCCCCCACCCCCTCGCTAGTGTCGAAAGGTCCAACGTTGACTTGCGGTATGCAAACTTTATTTCATATCCGCTCGTTGACATGATGGTGTGGCAAGGACTCGGCGACCTTATCAACACCTTCCGCGTCAAGACGCTCTCCTTGGACCCATTGTGGGCGTTGTGGGCGCCCGGAGCGACCTATCGCTTGCGCGTACCTTTCACGTATTTATGGTCTCCCGGCCTGGTACCCAAGCCCCACGATTGGGGAGAGGAGATTGATGTGACCGGATACGTGTTCCTGGAAACGACCGATACTTTCGAACCGGACCCCTCACTCATGACATTTCTTGAGGCTGGGGAGAGGCCTGTATACATTGGATTCGGATCCATCGTTGTTGACGACGCCAAGAAATTCACCAATATGATCTTCGAGGCGATAAGAAAAGCTGGCGTCCGCGCCCTGGTGTCCCGGGGCTGGGGTGGCTTCGGGCGCGACGATGTACCAGACACCGTCTTCATGCTCGGGGATGTGCCTCATGACTGGCTGTTCAGGCGGGTCAGCGCGTGTGTGATCCATGGCGGCGCTGGTACGACAGCTTCTGCACTTAAGCTCGGGCGGCCGACCATGGTTGTCCCCTTCTTCGGAGACCAGCACTTTTGGGGCAGCATGGTCGGGAGTTCAGGGGCTGGGCCGAAGCCCGTTCCTTACAGAGAACTGACCTCGGACATTCTCGCCAATGGTATTAGGTATCTCCTGACTGATGAGGCCAAGGAAGCCGCGGGTAAGATTGCCAAGTCCATTGAGGTGGATGGCAATGGCGCCGAGAACGCAGTCAAGTCCTTCCAGAAACACCTCAAGATGTTCGGTCCGTTCTCGCTGCGCTGCTCACTCCTTCGTAACCAAGTCGGCGTCTGGGGTGTCAAGGACTCGCGCGTCAGGCTCGGCCCGATGGCGGCGCATATCCTCGTCGACAGGGGAGAGCTGAGCTGGAAGCAGCTGCGCCTCTTACGGCACCAAGAATGGAACGACTTTGCAGGGCCAGTTGAGCCTGTATTTGGCATAGCTGGGTCCTTGATGGACACGTTAAAGGACTCTTTTAGAGGCATTGGAAGCGTGCCAGTCTACCTCTGCAGAACGGCCATGCAGGGAATCAAGGGTAAGATTAGCAGACAAAGGCAGAGCAAGAAAGAGAGGAACGGCGCAGAGCCCACAGTCAAGCCAGTAACTCTAAAGCAACCGCCGATTGACGTTCCTAGACCAGAAGAATTTGTCACGAATGTCACTCGTGGTGTTGGCAAGACGGCTACTGCCATCGTGAAAGCACCGGCCAGCCTGGCCCTCGCGATTGCTCAGGGTTTCCACAATGCGCCGCGACTCTACGGCGACGACACCGTCCGCCGGCCGACGCGAATCACCGGCTTCCACTCGGGCCTGGTCGCCTCGCGCAGGGAGTTCGTCCATGGCATTTACGACGGCATCACCGGTGTGGTACTCCTGCCTACCCGCGGTGCCAGGACGGACGGCTTCTGGGGCTTCCTCAAGGGCACTGCCTTCGCCATCGCAGGGCTGGTCCTCAAACCCATCTCAGCCGTGGTCGGCCCGGTCGGCTACACCATGCAAGGCACTCTCAAGCAGACAGAGCGCTGGCGGCGCCACCCGCATAAGGTGATTCGGCGGGCGCGCATCACACAAGGGCATCGCGAGATCCAGGGTCTTCGTCCGGATGAATTGTCGCGCGTGCGCGCACGCGTACTCGAGGGGTGGCATGTTATGGGGCAGCTAGAGCGCGAGGTCGTCTCGGCGGAGCGCCGGCATGGCATTGCGGGCCATATCGACCACATGGTGCTGGACACGAGCATGATGTTTGCCGACGTCGACATCGCCAGGTGGTGCCTCAGGCAGCTGCGCAAAGGCGCCGGCGTTGAGGACGTGCTAGATGCGACCTACAAGAACAAGGGTTCGGCCAAGTTGTGGAAGCCGCTCGTTCACACCGCGTCGAACCAGCTCAGCGTCTCGTAGCAGTGCAGGAGGCCGATCACCAGTTCATGCGCCGACAGCGGAGGAAGAGCGGAAAAATAGAACGGCATCTGCATCTGCATCGCGGCCTGCACATGCAGTCGAGCATGACAAGCCTTAGCAAAGGTCCAAAGGAAAGTCGGCGGGGGTAAATGAAAGCCGGGCCGAAGTGATCGGTTTGCTCTCACAGCCGCAGCTGTCAGCACTCTTCGCACAGAGAGAAATATATCTATATATACCAACCACATGCTTGGTTTTCTACCCATTGATGAAACAAGGTCGATATCGTATACCGGTGGCAGTTGAGGCCGACCCCACATCGTTTATGAGTACCCTGTATAACTAACTACTCGGAGTGTGGCTCGCGGAAGTACGATGCTATAACCCGAGCGATAAACTGCGGGCCTGCATGCATGGTGCTTTTGTACCCCCCTCAAGGTCAATGCTCAAACTTGGGATGTCAAGACTCGGCACCACAAAGTAGGTCTTTCCTTGGCGTATAGCCGAGCACTGAGTCCTGACGTACGACGGAGCGTCGGAGTAGTTGATTGTTTTATTTTCCATGTTAATATGCAAATATTACTAGGGTTTTAATACCTTTAAAACGCGTAAAATAAGCTAGCTAAAAGTTTTTTAAATGGTATATATTAATTAAGCTTACTTAAGCTTTACTAGTAAACTTATAAATACTTACTAATAATAAGCCTACTTAAAAAGGTTAATTTTTTATTTTTTTAACTTAGCTTCTTATAAGCTTTAAAGTATTTTTAGTTTTATCTTTATATTTACTCTTTTACCTTACTTTTTAATTTATATTATTCTTTTTTTTAATTCTATTATTAATATTATTTAATATTAAATTAAAGGATAAATATTTTGTTTTACTTAGGTTTTTTATATTTAACTTATTACACGTTAATCCTAATAAAAATATATTAATATTCCGGTTATATTACGTTATTTTAATACAAGTATCTTATTAAATTTTATTTTTTTTAGTTTTATTGCCCTTTTTAATATCTTTTTTTTTCTTAATTTACTTTTAATATATAAATTTTAGAGCTATAATAAGAAAACTACATT